AACGATAATATGACTCTGACCATGTAGGCACATGATAAATGATTACAAACAAGATAAAAAATAAAATATCAAACATGTGCATTGCCAGCAAGTGCTTCTACAGCATTCAGGCCTAGAATTGAAAGAGGAAAACTCATTTTATGTTTGTAATGCGTCCAACAATTATATTTGTTAGAAATTTACAGGAAAATAATACGAATGTTGAGTGATTTTAATGACACTTTCTGAGATGTCCTTCTTAGATATACAAAATACACAACTAATGATTAAAATAGTAATATCTGTGAAACATCTATGAAATTATATTTCTCTAAGATGTGTCACATATAAAAATTACAATTATATATTTGTTAAAAGCATATTAATAACTCGTTTCAATCGTTACGTCAGAATTTTTAACTATAAACTATAGTTAATAAATTATTTTAGTAAACATAATCATGCTACTAAACTATTAGTAAACTTTTTCTGTACACAGATATTGGTAGGTATTGCAATAGAATTTTAATACTTATGTATACGCAAAAAGAAACTACCTGTCAAGTTGTACCAGAACCCTAGAAGCAACAAAGGGATATGCTAATCAATAAGATTTACTATTCCAGTATTTCGATCAAACTGTTACATAGTGTTATTCAATCATAAGTATTAAATTCGGGGCGTAAGAGAGAGAAAATTATTCGTTTAATAATATTATTATCAGTTAGAGAAAAGATATATATATATATATATATATATATATATATATATATATATATATATATATATATATATTATGTAAAAATAATGCAAATTATTAATCACACATATTCTAAGGATGCATACTAATGCTAAAATCATGTTTAAAAGTATTTGGAACCGATTCTTCTTGTGTTGCATAGTCTTATCCGAGATATACATATTTTTGTAGTAAAAATAATCTCCAATAAAACATTTTTATTAGTGATAATGACACTTGCAAATTACCTGCCAATATTTGGAGCATACAATGAGCACCGTTCTTTGATTATAAGGACAGCAAGTCATCGCGAGTGCATTCAAGCAGCGAATCTGCTTGCTTTCATGCTCATACAGAGGTTCGCTGTTTCGATTCTCGTGTCCCAGAAGCGTCCACACTTTAACTGTACCCGTGGTAGTCAGAGCCAGTACGACATCATCTTTAAACGAATAGAAGCGCCTGTTGTGCGTTAAATAAATCCAGAAAAGATGCATTTTAAGCGATATTTTGTTAGAGTCACCCAAACAGTTTGCTGTTCGTTATGAACGCAAAATTTGTCAGTCTTGATAGATTAATGCAAATAATATTATTTATTAGACCGGATAAGCGGCCAAAAAACAGAGTTAAAAGTGATTAGAGATAACATAATTTTATTAATTGCAAGAGTATAAAGTACCTCTCGTTAACTAATAATAATTTCCGTTATGCGTAAAGTATAGTATTACAAGCATGTCAGATGTTTCCATAGAGAGGAAAGCGATACATATTAAGTTACAATAAAATCATGCTTATTTTCAAATTATTGCAGAAATTATGTATGTACGTCATTTATTTAATCATGCAGAATCTAAGAACCAGTGCTGATTAACAGATAGCAATTAATGTGTGCATTGTTGTATCCAATCGGTGCTGATAAGAGTATTTGCATTCTTTGCAGGCTGTTTGCTCTCTTTTTTATTATCATCAAAGCCTTCTCCTACGACTTAGTCTGAGTTTTTTTTTATACATACAAAATATCTATTTCTTAATCGCACGCATAACTTTTAAGAACACATAGTTAAACAATAGACTGTAAATTAATACTCTCTATAACTGCTAAAAAAATATTCTAGATATCAAATAATATTTTTTAATTAATTTTATATTTTGATAAAATAACTAATAGTTCAAATATCTATCAATAAACTTTTAATTAAAAGATTAAACTTAACAATAGTGTGCAATTTAATATTTTGTTGTGGTGTAAATATATATTATAATATATATATACATATACTTACGAATAGAGATAGAACATACTATACCAAGGTGAGAGTGTTATGAAGGTGTAATGATGGTGTAATGAAGGTGTTATAAAGATATAGCAAATATTGGACGATTCATGTGTAAGTAACATGATATATGAACAATATATAAATATTACTATAAAAAGAAAGAGAAATAAAACAAGATATTAATAATAATTAAGTTGCTCCAAAAATGATGCATAAAAAAGAGATATGTGTGAATAACGATTAGATAATAAAAAAAAAGGGAAGATGTGAGATACAGCTTCGACCATCAGTGCACTAGCACTGAATTGTCCAATTTCATTAATCATGCTGCAACAATATAACTGTTATATTAAATGCTCAGTCCAAAAATATTAGATATAAAACTGCTATTATCAAAAATTGCGTTCAAATTGTATAAATTATTTTACACGGCAAAATAGAATCATCAATACACGAAATATTTGTCAAAAAAAAAATCTCTCTTTATACCCAAAGCATAAAGCTTCTTCAGGTTAATTGCCTAAAAACTGGCAAAGAGCAGCAGATTATAAAATTCAAAATGAAAAAAAATATCTCTATACAAGTGACTTTGTTGGTATCGTTAGTTGCTTTTAAATCATATTAGTAAAATTATTGTTTAGTGTAAATATTATAAAAATATTATTATCCACAATTAAAATTCATTCAAATATAATACAAAACTGAATAAAAGAGAATTTTTACCATTAGTATCCGAAAGTTCTTTACTTAAAAAGGAACATGTAAATATATAAGATAATGAAATACCAAAAGATACTGTTTAATATATTGCCGATTTTCAATCAAGTAAAAGATTATCGACTTGTATAAAAGATAATACTGACTGTTATATAGAGATATATGAGAACTTTTTTTATCACATAGATAAAAGAAAAAATTTTAGATCGTGATAGAATAATACATGTCAGATTTAAATTACCGCGTTAAACATTGAAACGAGGAGACAAATCCTTATAAAAGCCATATTGCAAATCATATTTATACAGTATCTATTGGCAATGAAATTGATAGAAGGTAACGGAAGAGTCATGGTAAGCGTAGGTGTGATGGAGTGTAACTAACTTGTATGCACGTAGAACCGACCTTTCCGTTTGGCCGGCCGTAAAACGTGCAATGCGCTAATCCAATCTGGATTGACGCGAGAGCTCAGGGTAAACAGCACTTCCAAACTGAATGGATCCATCACCAGCACCTCAGGATAGTATCTAAACAGAAAAAAAACCAAACATTTTCTCAACGTGAGCGATACTATCATCACGATGCGATGAGAACAAGAAGATTCTTACCCGGAACAAAACAACCTAACATCCTCTCCTCCCGCGGAAACATAGGGCAACATTTGTGTGTGAACATTATTAAGCTTCACTGCTTCGCGACATTTTCCGTCAACTAGATCCCAAGTGCACATCTCTCCGCTCTCGCTGCTGCTAACGATGAAATTTTGCTCCATTATGACACTAGCTCGACTGAGACACATTATCGGAGCAGTATGTCCAACGAGTAGACATCTTGGAGTCATCTACATAAATATCATGATTATAATAAATGTATTAGAAGAAAAAAATAATATTTTCCATAATCTTCTCTAACCCTCTAACTCTACCTTTAATGTTTCTGGATCCACTTGCCACAAACATATTTGTCCATCATAACATCCTGTCACCAATGTTTTTTGATCCCGAGATAGATAGACACAAGAAATACAATGGGTTGGTGCTATACGTCCCCATAGCACTATGGGCACCACTAAACTGGTACCTGCAGTCATCTTTGCGAGCAATCTGAAAATTATTATTACAAAGTAATAAGCACACTCTCTTTACATCTTCATTTATGCTCATCCCAATGCTATTTTTCTAATTAATTGGAGTATATTTCTCATGATATGATTTAGAAAATAATTTAAAAACCCGAGTAAAAGAGCTTGATCACAAAACTACAAATTAGAATAACTGTTTTAAAATGTTTTAAAATGAATACTCAACCATATCAACAATACTGTCATCAACCATATCAACAATACCATCAAACTGAAAAATATCTAAAACGCAAAGGATAATTCCTAAGTAGTAAATTACATTAAAAAAAAAAAACAAAAAGAACGGCACTATCATTGATATCGAATAGAAAGAGATAACCACCCAATAAAATGATAAACCTGTTATTAACTATATGATTCATAACTATATATCATATTGACAAAATATTAAAGTAAATCTACGACGAACATAATCAAGATTAGTTCGTGTAAGGCTCGAGAATTCGTCAAGTCCTGGAAATCATTAGAGGCTTAGGGGCAAGAAAGGGAATTGATTGAAAGTAATTAAAGGCGTCTGCTACACATGATGTTGGCAAAATGTCACAAGTGATCAAGGCTAGTGACGTAGATCCCAGAGACGTCTGCCTTTAAGATGTTAAGAGCAATCGTGCGGATAGACATGTGAAGAATAATTACCACGAGCCAATGAATACTGCAGACAACCGCCTGAGACGTTGCAACTGGCGATATTTGCCGAAAATCTCTCACTTTTTACTGCACTCTCACGACCATCGCCATCTTGCTGTCGAAGACGATGCCTGACAGTGCGGGCAAGAGTATTAGTAATCAGCTGTTCCACCTCAAAAGTTTCTAAATCACGCTAGTTTGGACGATATCTATAGAAAATACAGATAAATTGTTATTTTCAATAATAATTTTTCAATTTTAGATTAGATAATACAAAAATTTTGAAAAACGTAGACAATTTTTTTATAAAGAACAATCATGCGCAAAATTTTCAATAATGAGTTTTAAACATAGTAATTGATCGAATTAGAGAATGTCAACGAGATAATCGATCTTACGAAAGAATCGATTCTACAGGGTGCGTTCGGAGAGCACGCTTTCAGCTCTATGAGCATGTCTCTGTCTTTGTTCAACTTTCAGTAAATAACAAAGATAGAACAACGCTTTTAGCGCATAAACGTCCTGTTTCCCGAACGCAGCCTAATTGGAAATTATAACCTGAAATCGGACAATTTCCACACATGTATAAACACCAACGATGCGTTAGAAAATAATCACATATTAATTGTAAGTGCACGACTGTTGATGACTGCATCTTTTTCTATGATTACACGAATTTCGGCCATTTCACATCAATTGCGCGTTTACTGCGCGCAACATCTCAACAATAGAATCAATAAACATTAAAAGGTAAGCACATTGTTCTCTTGGCGCATTAAAAGTATTGACAAAAAATACATATGTCAGAACATTAGAATAGATTAAAAACAATCTCTTTGTGACATGAAGGTGTAGACATTATTTTTAAAATCTTAATTTAGTAATATAAAGTAGGCAATATTTTCAAAAGTCGAACATTATAAAAATAAATTTCACAACAAATTTATATTTGAAAATATAAACAGTGATTTATTAATGACGTTTATTAATTATATAGTTTATTAACAATATTTAAAATTAGATGTTTTGTAATATCTTACGTATTTGTAATAATTTTGGGTACTGTATATTTCTTTATTTTGCAGATCTTGTTTTATTATAGATTTATGGGAAGAATTGATAAACTCTGAAATTATTTTTAATTGAATTAAACTAAGCATTAGATTACCTGAAAGCTATTTAGTTTCACAGTTTAATAATCTACATTTTTTTAGCATACAGTTTGGTTTAAATAAGGAAATTGTGTCTAACAGTTGTATATTAACATACAACAATGAAGTGTCACTACGAAGTATTAGGAGTTGAAAGAAACGCTTCTGACATTGATATAAAAAAGGCATACAGGAAGTTAGCATTAAAATGGCATCCAGATAAAAATCTTGATAATCCAAATGAAGCAAAGGAACAGTTTCAAATTGTCCAACAAGCATGGGAGATACTGAGCGATCCCCATGAGCGTACCTGGTACGACAATCATCGAGAAGCCATCCTGAAGGGTGGTATTGGAGAAGATTACAAGGACGACTCTATCAATCTTTTCCCATACTTCTCCGCTACATGCTTCAAGGGTTATAGAGACGATGAGACAGGTTTCTACGCCGTTTACCGAAACGTCTTCGAAAAATTAGCCGCAGAGGACGCCGAATTTACTAAAGACAACGAATCCAATGACGAGGTCCCTGGCTTTGGCGATTCTCTGAGCTCCTATGAGGATGTAGTGCACGATTTCTACGCCTACTGGCAAAGTTACAGTACCAAGAGATCCTATGCTTGGTTGGACCCATACGATATACGTGAGATGCCGAACCGGCGTATCTTCAGGCTCGCCGAAAAAGAGAACAAAAAAGTACGCGAGAAGGCGAGACGCGAAAGAAATGAGCAAGTGCGCAATCTGGTCGCCTTCGTCCGTAAACGTGACAAACGAGTGCAAGCTTATGCGGAGAAGCTGGCCGAACGTGCTCGCGAGAACTTTCGCAAGGCAGAAGAGCGCAGGAAGGCGCATTTGTTGGAGAGGCAGAAACTGTTGCGCGATCACAACGAATCCGAGTGGTCCAAGTTCTCGAATATCGAGGCGGAACTGGAGAACATCGAGGCGAATCTGACAGCAGAATTTGGAATGGACAATAAGGAAGCAGCCACAGAGAACGACAACACACTTTATTGCATCGCCTGCAATAAAATTTTCAAAACGCACAAAGCCTTTACGAACCATGAGAACTCGAGAAAGCATAAAGAAAATGTCAGCATGCTCAAGCACCTCACAATAGATGATAACGAGGACCTCCGTGACAGTTCTCGTGAAAGAGATTCAAGCACAGAATCAACTTCTCTAAATAGGCCCAAGTTAGCAACAAACTCGCAAATGCCCGATTTCTTACTGAATCCTCAGAGTGATATGAGACGACCAGATGATGAGAATAATGGAGATACCTCTTCAGCCGAACTAATGTCAGATGATGAAAAAGATTCAGGATCGGCAAGCGAAAAAAGAAAGATGGGTGACGGAGATGTTCCATTAGCTACAGAACCACAAATGGGCGAAAGCATTTCATTCTCATCTAAGATAGAAAATGAGGACGATAACGTAACATCCGAAGACGAATTAATATCTGATCAGGAGAAAGAAATCCCATTGTCGTATCGTCAGAAAAAAAAGAAGAAAAAGCGGAATATTCTGAATCTACATTCTATGATAGACCATGATGCTAGTGACGAGGATACAGAGAGTACTAATGAAGAAATATGGCTATCGAAAAAACAACGCAAAAGATTACAGCAGAAGAAGGTAGCAATGAGTAAGGTACAAAATAATGAGGAGACACACAGTAAGGAGAAACAACAAGCAAAGTGCGAAAGCGAACTAGCAGAAGAGGCAGATATTGTTAACGAAAGGTTGAAAGCCAATAAAATAAAGAAAGCATGCAAAAAAGAGGAACGAGAGAATAAAAGTAAAAATAAAAAAGATCCAGTCATAAATGTTGATGATCTGACTCATTGCTGTGTTTCTTGCTCATTGGAGTTTCCTAGCAAAAACAAATTATTTGAACATTTAAAGAAAACTGGACATTCTGTATATATACCAGAATTGATGAGAAATAAAAAGGATCAGCAAAAAAAAGAAAAGACAATGTCGAAAGGAAAAGACACTTCGGAAAGGAAGAGACGTTAAACTTAACGGAGTAAATTTCGCGCGCAAATTGTTAATTATTTAAATTGCAGTCTAATTTATTATAATTCTTGTGACAGTCGTTTATGCAAGATATATGTCCTAATACATCATAAGAATCGTATTCTTTATGTATATATTGTACAAAGTATAAAAATATTAAAATATTGTAGTTCGAATTATGTTTGATGATGTCGAGCTATTATATCTAGTTTCTTTGCGACAATTATATTGATTTGGAAATGGAAATTAACAATCATAAATATGCTGTTAATGTGCTTTAACAGGAGCAACAAAAATTAAAATTATAATACATGTCACCATATTATAAACCACAAATGGTTTTATAATAAATTATTATATTCATCAATAAATACAATATCTTATTAAAATAATATATTGTGAATTTATTTTACTATCATTCTCTATTCTATATTTTCCTTTTCCGACAATATTTTATCAAAATATTTAAGTTTATCAAAATATATGTATTAGACTACTAGACAATTTAGTGTTTTAATGATAAAAATTTATGTTCCAATAACTTATTTTTCTATAAAATAAAAAATAAACAGTATATTTAATAATATAAAAAAATATTTTTATTTTTCAGGATATGTGCAATCTCTCTTTGCTATAAATATAAACAGTAATGTCACACAACTAGCATGGCATAGAATATCATTCATTACACTGTTAATCACAGGTGAGATTACGCGCTTGTAACTAATAAGCATTTTATCTTTTTGTTGAGTTTTAATTCTATATGTTCTTCCGAAAAGGAGACATTGTATTATGCAAGCATGCTATATACAGCCGCAAGCTTTCCAAGAAATGAAATTATAAATTCTTCAAGGTCCAATACTATGGCTGCTAAAAAGCTCGTTTATCCTGCGGCGGACCGTAATAAGGATCCCATATTATCGGTTTTAAAACGATACATCCAACGCGGCACCAATCAGACTTTCTTGGAGATATCCTCCGGTTCGGGACAGCATGTGGCGCATTTCGCGTCGCATTTTCCACACGTCACGTTTTATCCCTCGGAGTACGAGCCACGACTTCTGGAGAGCATTGCTGCACACGCAAACGGACACTCGAATATAAAAAGCCCTATAAGAATTGATGTTACCGAAGATTACCGGCTGTGGGGTAATGGTATCTTCAAGCCGAACAGCTTAGAATATATATATAACGCAAACATGATGCATATTTCGCCGTATCAATGCACCATCGGTTTATTTAATAATGCGGGACAATTGCTGAAGTCGAACGGGCTGCTAATTACGTATGGACCATACGCTTTTGATGGTCAGATCACACCTCAGAGTAATGTAAATTTCGACAAGTCTTTAAGATCGCAGGATCCGAGTTGGGGTTTACGAGATGTAAGAGATTTGAAAAAGTTGGCTGAGGAGCATAATATTAAATTAATCCAGATTGTGGATATGCCTGCTAACAATAATACATTAATTTGGAGAAAAATTATGCATTTGTAAGAATTGCAATTGGCGAGTTTCAGATATAATTCAATGGTTAAATAAAAAATTAATTATAGCTAAGGGCTTTCAAATATACATAAATTTTATTTTTATTCAACTAAATTAAAAGATATTGCTTCTCCAGTTGTGTGAATAAGATGCTTTATTTAAACATTGCTATATATTCTTATCTAAAGTTGCTATATCTATATTTAATTACAATACACATTGTACAAAATTTCCATAATTTCTATATTAATTTTTATGATACTTTAATCCCTGAGAGATCTGAAATTCTTATATTTGAGAAATTTGTAATTAATACAATATGAATTATATCTTTTTTTTCTCATTGATGTAAAACATGTTATATATATACATAACGAAATGTATCTTAAAGATAAAGCAATTATCATCGTATTTTTACATTGTATCGTCCTCATCATCACCAAAGAAATCTAAATCTTCCAATCCCTCTGGCAGATAACTCAATCCAGACTCATCTTTGTGCCTCATATTATATCCCTTACTATACCCTGATATAGTTCAATTTATTAAAAGTGTATATTTCGTATACTTTTTTTAAAAGAGATAAAAATTAAAATATTTACCTAAATCTTTCATGAGTCTTGTAGGAGCATTTCTTAGATGTAAGGGCACTCCTGGTTGCGGGCCTTTATGCTCGGCTACAACTTTTTGTGCAGCTCTAAGCGCGTCTTCCATCAGTCTGGACTTTGGAGCTCTCGCTAAATATATTGTACATTGCGCCAAAAGAACATCGCATTCCGGCATCCCGATCATTTTGCAACCGTGCATTGTGTGCATCGCTATCCCTTAATAAATAATATACATTTACATTAAGTGAACTATAAATTACATTCACAATTAATCACATTTCACAAATCTATTCTCTACACTTTCATATAATTATTATTAAAATACATGTACGGTTTATGAGTGTTAGCAATTATAAATTATGAATGATTTGCTAACCGAGAGCTTTTGGATCAGCTAAGCCGATATCTTCACTAGCCATCCTCACTAATCTTCGTGCGATATAAACCGGATCTTCACCGCCAGAGATCATTCTAGTCAACCAATAAAGGGAAGCATTTTCGTCACTGCCTCTAACTGACTTGTGTAACGCGGAAATCGTGTCGTAATGTTGATCACCCTTTTTATCGTATAACATGTGCGTTTTTTTCAGACTCTCCTCGACATCGTTCAGCGTTATTATGGCCGGTCCGATGTCCAGTAGTTCCTCTTCATTCGGTGCTTTAGATCGCACAGCCATTTCTAGCCCTCCTAAAGCTATTCGAGCATCACCATCACAAGTTTCAGCCAACCACTCTATTGTTGGTTCGTCTATAATAAACTTTGTATTATAGGACGACTCCATTTCGACCTTGTCTTCTTTCGAAGTACTTTCTTCACTTTGCAACGTGCTTTTATCTGACATGTGTATTATACCTTCCAGTGAAATTACAGCACGTTTTAAAATCGATACCAAGTTTGCAATGGATAATTTGTGTAAAACAATCACTCTGCATCTGCTTAATAATGCAGAGTTCAGACTGAATGAGGGATTTTCTGTCGTAGCACCAATGAGAGTGATGGTTCCTGACTCGACATGTGGTAAGAAAACGTCCTGCTGTGTCTTATTGAACCTATGTATCTCGTCCATGAACACTATCGTTCGCTGCGCAAATTTGGTATGATTCGCGGCCACACTAATAACTTCTTTTACCTCCTGGACACCAGCCATGGCCGCAGAGAGCTTAACGTATCGGAGTTTACGACTTGCATCGTTCTTACACATGTGCGCGATAACATTAGCCAAGGATGTCTGTGAAACAAGAAAACAAATGTATACTTGTATATTCACACAGAAACAGAAAATTTTAAGGGCGTTAACCTTGCCACATCCAGGTGGACCCCAGAGAATCATATTGGGTATCTCCTTTTTTTGCAAGAGCTCTGATAGCATAGTGCATGGTCCAAGGATATGTGTCTGGCCAACAAAATTTAATAATGATGTAGGTCTCATCTGTTCTGCAAGAGGTATACGATCATTTCCACGCAATTTCTTGCATTCATTGCTTACCTGCAAATATAAAATTTATGACTTTAATGCAATATAATTTTTTTAAAAATTATTTAGCAAAATACAAGCAAATTTGGCATGTATTTTAAAATAGTCGATCATTACAACCTGTTATTTATGTGATTATATAAATATGTTTTATCAAACTACAATATTATTTAAATCTGTATTAAACAATAATAATTACGCTTTTTTGTAGCATGTCATCCTTAACATCTTCTTCCTCCTTTTGGAAATTTTGGGAGGAAAACTGATCCAAAGAACTTTTTCTCTTTACAGCCACTTGATTCGCTTTTTTTACATTTGTTGGTTTTAACTTGCTTTTTTTGTTTATAGGACTTGAGTCTTTAAGCAAAATCGTGGTTTCATCTTTCACAGATTCATTAAAGAATAAGCACTTGTTAGCATGAGATTCGATAATAGAGGAAGCAAATTCCTTGCCACATATTGGACATGATATTTTATCAATATCCATATTTATATCAATAATATAATATAAAATCTAATCTCTTCCCTCCGTTTTTTTGCTGTTTAAAAGATAATTATCAACATTGTGTGCAATAACAAAATATTGAGAATCTTAAATCTTTCTGCAAGTTTCTCTCACAATCAATAGAGTAACTGAAAAATAACAAAAAGAACAAGTAGACAATAGAAATATAAATTGATATACATATATATTAAACTTTTATTTTTATTAATTTATAATCAATTATTAATTTTTTGCTTTTATTGATTCATAATCAATTATCTTTTGATAAAAAACGTGTCTCGCGCGAGAAAACGTTGCGGTCAACATCTCGTGACATCTCATTATGTATCTATTATTTCCGGGGAATGCCTTATATACATGTCATTTCCGGAAGAGCAGAAAATTATTCGATTTCTGCATCATTTTTTATCGCGTGGACGTATTGTCAATTGTCACGTGTTGTTCTGTGTACATGTAAGAATACATTTGCATCGCAGTGAATGGCTCAATTGTGTATTATAAATTTTAATATATATAACCAATAATCACACACGTTTGTCAAGAATGAAAACGAGCAAAATGACGAAGGAGAGAATACACAAATCAAAAACGATTAAAGTATCAATGATAAGACAACGGATAAAAACTGCAAGGATAAAACGCCGCACAATCCTGAAGAAGAACAAACGTTGCGAAACTTGAGGTGAGATTGCCGCGGAATGCGCAGAACTATCGCCGAATAGGATCCTCAGAGACGGTACCGTTATGTCAAACTCGTGTACTAACCTAAACTCACTCGTGCACGAAAGCGTGCATCAAGCTTTTGACGGATGAATCCTCGCGCGAGCTTTAATTAGCTCGTTGAAATCGGACTTTGAATCACACGAGTGATTCGTTTCGAGAGTAGACTCGCCGGGAGAACATCTCGGAATTTTCCGAAGAATCGCGATTATCTCTGAACGGAGTACGAAGGCACGTTACGGTAAAGAAGTCCAGCATCCAGCAGCTGCGTTGACGTACGTTGCCGTGACAGGAATGAAAGTGTTTTTCATGTGAAATGCGATCATAACGAGGAATTCGTTGAGTGAAAATTTGAGAGCGAATGCAGGGCATCGCGGATATTCAAGATATATTCATATATTTCAAACATTAATGGCACATAATTGATATATTTGATATTTCAGATTAAAGATATACAAGAAACAGATGCTGGATTCTATGAATGTAGAATACAAATATCCGTGAACAATCTTATAAGTGCAGAAGTAGAATTGCAAGTTCGTAGACTACCAATAATTAGCGATAACTCGACTCAATCTTTAGTAGTTAGCGACTTTTATTTTTTTTTTTTTTTTTTTTTGGAAAGCTTTAGAATCGAAAATTTTATATATTACAGAATATATGTGATTACTGTTTACTGTTTTGATAACGCATAAATTCTAAGAAAACAATTAGACAACATATTCTTTAATTGATTTTGAATTCATTTGAAAAGGCGAAATTAAAAGAGCGAGAGATGATATAATGCGACATCTACTCTTTATATTTTATTAGAATTTCATATTATTAACGTAATGAAAAATGGAATTCTCTTTATAAATATAGTGTGAACAACAAAACAGTTCTATCAAAATTACATCTCTTATCTGTATATCTTACCGTCATTTTATTGCTTTTTGATTATTTTCTTCAAAATTATTTATCAGATTTCATTACAATATATATCTATTAATATTTGCTATTTTATTGACAGCCATTAGACAATCCAATAGAAAGTAACACAGCAAATACATCAGATTCTATTGAGTCAAAGCAACTTGTATCGAACGATGCAGTTTGTGCTCGGATCAAGATCAGCTTGGAGATCGATCTGATAGCGACAATGTTACTAATTACAGGCATCCTCACTCGCCTTTATCGCCTCGAGGAACCATGCAACATAGTGTAAATATTTACTTACGTTTTTTTCAAGAAATAATATATAGTACTGATAAGCAATCGATAATTGATTTTATATCATTATATGAAGATATCAACGTTTTGCCAATACCATAAGACTTTTATTATCTTCAACAACTTAACAATTATAAATTAATATACATATATAAAAATGTGCAATAATTATGTAATTAATAAAGATTTTAATTAAAAAACAATCAATGAAGGCAACTAATATTAATTTAAAATTGCGAATTATTAGGTTGAATGTTAACTGTAACTTTACTGTTAAAATCTTTAATTAAATTTATTATAATATGTAACTAATAACTACCTCAAAAATTAAGTAAACATAATTATAAAATAAATCACACAAAATTATAGTTTTCAGAAAGTTTTAATACACAACTCACGCGCGCGACATATATTTTATATATCAATAATTATTATCGTGTTATTACACAGTTATATTTTTCTCGTTATATATATAT